AGACGAACTTTGAATACGAGGCACGTGACTTCTATGCACTTTACGATTGGTCGGGCAGCAACAATTTTTTACCTTTTATTTTAAAGACTGCAGTTTATTTCGGACTTCTTTAAACGCTAAGATTGCTCTATTTGACTTTGTTTTTACCTTCATCTAGATTATGCCCTACTTCAATTGCTCAGATTCTTCAAAATTACGCTTATCCTACCTACCAACAGATGGCGACTCAATAGCTGACTACTTCTTCAATAGTTCCTGCCACGATCAGAAGATGGCGCCACATCTATCTTCCCCAAGGAAGAACACCAAGCAACTAAAACACAAGAATTTTTCACTTTTTATTATAAAGTGGAGTTTTATTTTTTCACTACAACGTACCCCGTAGGTTAATAACTTCTGAGTAAAAGTCGTTAGACTGAAGACTCATCCTCACCTCATTTCACGTAAGGACAGAATAAAGGGCTCTTTTTCCCAAAATGGGTTGCAAAAGGATTTAAAATGGATTCAGAAAAGATATTTTCGTGACTTCTGTACGTACGTAAGTAGCCATATTCGTTTACATTTGAAACTTAGCAAAGTAGTGAATCAAGTCAGTTTCTACACCTTCAGTGTCATTTTGGCCGATTGGAACCAAAAGTAAACTCTTTATTTTGTGCAACGAAAAATCTGCCTTCTTGCCCGCTGGCCGAATCCCTGGTTCTTCCGTAGAGACTAATTGTAAAAATTGTTTTTTAATTGTTTTAATTGCATTTGGTGTTTTATATTTTACAGTTTTTAATAAAGATATTTTGAGGTTTTATGTTTTTTTGCTTTTCCACGAAGTGAGATCTGAATTAATTCAATGAAAAATATATCTCTAATGAAATTCAAGGAAAGAAATGACATGCAGCAAAAAAATGCGTGTAATTTAACATTCCGTACAAGGAAGTCATGTGGTGTACACATCAGATTTTTTTTAAACTAATGTTATTACAATGAGTTAACCAACAAAAAATGAATAACTACATAATATTTAAATACATGAAATAAAGTTGAAAAACAACACATAAGCAAATTAATAAATTCTCAAAATGTTTTCGGTTTTCTACAACATCAAACAACTATCTCTGTTTCATATCAATTCTAACACTTTTGAAATTCACAATAAACACTGCTAACCACTGTTTACTGGTTTTTTCTTAAAAATTGTTACTATTTTCCAGATGATCGAACACTTAATCTAAAAGCCGAATTCGTCGGTGATTTATCCGTTTTATCACCGGTAATATTATTCAGAATACACCACAGGAGGATATCGAATTATACCTTCGAGAAAGAAAATGCTCCGTCCCACCTAAAATGGTATCTCTTTTTCTTTACTACGAACTTCTCGAGAAGCATTTAGACTCGATAGTATTTTCTGTGCTTTCACGACGCAAAAGCATTATTCATTTTCAAACCATCATGCCTTCTCTGTATTTGAACCTGAGCCCAAGTCTGTAGCAGGACGCTTCGGATGTTTTTTAAATGTTAAAAAGAATGAACTGATTTCTGATGCATATTACCAACGCAATATTTGATTGCACATGCAATTACTTTAAATTATACTTTCAAACACTGTTAAAATATTTTATAGTCGAGTAAACTTTGAAAACTTTCGGTGTAGATCATTTCGTTACCACCTTGAAGTCTAGACGAATGGTTCTGAACTCTTTTTTCTCCAATACTCTTTTCTCTCTAGTCATTATGCCAAACTCCGTTAAGTACACCTGTCTTTCGCTTGATTCAAATACTGCATTCAAGTAATGTGTATTATTGTTGCGAATTTTGTACATATGTATACAATTTTAGCAAAATTATATATGGAATTGTAGTATTTTTTTGTATAATGTAACATGAAATGCTTGAACGAGAAGCTGCTCGACCAGAAAAATAAAATTACAGAGGAAAGTCTATTTAACATTCAGTACATGGTTAGCTCACTAAATTGGTGAGGTATCGTCAAGCTGGCGATGGTTTTGGCACTAATTTTCGTCGTCAAACTTTGCGAGAAATCCCCAAAAGTCGCCAAACTTGGCGACCATTTAGTGGCATTTTGGTCCGGTCCCTGTATAACAGTAATGGGTATTGTAATTCAATAACTGTAATTGATCCCATATGTAACTGTAACCGTATTCAGCTCTCACATGTCTTCCAGTAATTTCGAGAGCTGAAAGGTACTAGAAACTTCTCCACGGCCGGGGAAAACTATATAAGACCGGAGTCATTAGTTTCTCAGCCTTAAAACTACCAGTGACATAGATGATGCCGTCGGACTGCTAGCTGAGAAAAATTAGCTCTGCACTTGCTAATGCAACTAAACCTATGGATCAATACGCTGACAGGCTTCCTTCTCATAACAGGGAGAAAATTAATACACGTAATAGGTTACGGAAGCATTGGAGCCGCACATGGGACCCCAGCTTAAAAAATAGATTAAAGGCTTTAACTAGAGCTATTAAGAAAGACATTAGAATTTACAGAAGTGAAAAATGGGAAGACAAAATTTTAAATTTTAATGAATATAAAGATGACTTTTAGTCGTTCGCTCGTAATTTGAAAAGAAAGCTCACTATCAGCAAACCTATTTATTCTGACGGAAAACCGGCACTCAATAATAAGGATAAAACATCTGTCTTGGCTGGTTATTTAGAACGGCAATTCTCAGCTAATGAGAACCCATGCAATTCTGATTTCGTCCAGTACGTGGACAATTTTATTAAAAAATACTTGTAGCACCTACTGTAAAGAATAAGACTGATTTCGTTACTTTTAGTGAAGTTAGAAACTTTATTAAACATTGAAAAACAGGAAAGCGCCAGGGCACGATACCATTTCTAACCTTGTCACAAAAAATCTTTTTTTGAATGTAATTACAAAGTTTACGAGAATTTTAAATGCCTGCCTGGAAAAGTCATACTTTCCGAGTACATGGGAAAATGCCAAAGTTATCCTGCTGCCAAAGCAGGGAAAAGATTTAATTGCTCCAGAAGGTTACAGGCCCATCAGCCTGTTTGCAGGCCTTTGAAAAATTTTTGAAAAAGTAATACCCACAGGACTGTAGCTTTATTTCAGTTTACTCCCTGAGGAACAATTTGGTTTTAGACGCTCTCTTTCTACCACGAAGCAACTCGTGAGATTAATGGAGTTTATCGAGAGCGCTCTCCATAATAAATTATGTGTCGCTTTACTCATGCTAGATGTGGCGAAAGCCTTCGACCGCGTCTGGCATGAAGGGCTAATTTATAAGCTTATTCAAATCAGTTTTATTGCAGAAATGATTCTTCTCTTCAGATCTTTTATTGAAAATAGGACTTTCTATGTTAGTATTGGAAAAGACTCTTCAGACAAGAAGCCTATCAGGGCCGGCGTCCCTCAGGCTGCGTTCAGACGACGGCGTAAAGGGCATAGAGGCATAGTCATAAGGGTATAAAATACGGGAGTTCCGTTCACACCTGCGAGAAGGGGTATAAGCCGTGGCCAATGAGACAAGCTAAATTTGTGAATGCCTGGATGTGTCTACAACTTTCCCGCGCTGTTCTCCTTCTCGATTGATTTCCCGCGTTCGCTCTGCTTGTTTTATAACAGCGAAATCTTCTGCAGAACGCCGCTTCGTTTTAGCTTCGCTCTGCTTGTTTTATAACAGCGAAATCTTCTGCAGAACGCCGCTTCGTTTTAGCTTCGCTCTGATTGGTCGACGCTTATCCCAAACTCGGCTTATTCCTATGCCACGAGCCCTAAACGAGATTTTTGTGACGGAGCACAGACTGGTTGCCTTGGCAACGGAGCTCGGCTTTAACCACTTAATGCCCTTTACGCCTCCGTCTGAACGCAGCTTCAGGGGTCGATTTTAAGTCCCATAATTTATCCTTTCTATGTTTCTGACCTACCTAAGTTGCATATAGACCACAACCACGTTTTTGGTTGTTATGCCGATGATACGGTTATTGCTGTAAAATCAAGAAACCTAAATTATGCGATTCATAAACTACAAAATATCATGCCGAATTTGGAAAGAATGGTGCCAAAATTGGAGAATAACAATAAATGCGCATAAATCTCAATTACTGGTCATTCGACGTAGGCATCCTAATACCTTATTTTTTGAGTGATTACACCTTTTTAACAAGGAGATCCCAATCGTGCAAAAAACTACTTATCTTGGAGTAGTCTTTAATAAATCTCTGACTTGGACCAGTCGCATCAAGATTGTCAAGAGGAAGGCCGTTAGTAGCAGGTTAAATTTCCTACTATGTAAATGTTCGAAGCTCGACATAAATAAGAAAGGGCATATATACACGGATATGATAAGGCACATCTTTTCATATGTCTCTCCGGTCTGGTCAGCTGCCACAAAAAGGGATATTGCACAGTTGCAAATTATTCAGAATACAAATTCTTACGGATAAATATGTCACTTAGTTAATATATCATTTATATTTTATCAGTTAGTACCACAGATAGGTGTTTAGTTATTACTTAGTATCAGTTATGTATGTGTAGCTAATATATTATTCATTAGGGCATAAATTATTAATATATTTCATAAATACATATAAGTAAACGCTTCCGCTACTTTTACTCTGCTTGAGGCCGAGATTTTAACATTTTCGGGCTTTAGCAGTCAAGGAATTTCACCCATGGTCCTTACCGTAACATTATTTCAAATAAGAATGTCAGCTTGAGGTCGAATAAAATGAGACCATGAAATTTTCTTTCTCTTTTTGAAAATTTTTCTTTGCAGAAAATTTTTGGTTTCGAACATACTGAAACAGAAATGCACGACTGTGTAGATAAAACAATTGAAAGCCCTTAGAAACGAATCTTAATAAATTATTTTAATTTTTTTTTTTTTTTTTTTTTTTTTTTTTTTTTAAATACTTTTGATGATAAATGTTTTTATCACATGCAAAAAATTTTTTTTATTAGAAAAATTAGAAAGTAATGGATTCTGTATTTCCATACAATAAAATAAAACTAACCTTAAGTAAACGTGTTCCACAAGTTTACAATACACTTCCGGACCAGCTTCTCCGCAGGTGGCATTAACTGTGATAACAGAGGTTGCTGCGAGATTAAAGACATTGGGAAACAATCCTCGCAAAATATCTTCATCTGCAGGAAAGAAACAATAGGAATTTACAGAAAATTTAACAAAATATGAAAAGTGTCATAAATTATTTATAATTTTCAAAATATACAAATGATGACACAAATGTAGTATCATAACTTATGTTTTAAGATTCCTGGTATTTTGTTAATTCTTGGTATTTGTTTAATTCCTGGTATTTTGTTTACTGTAAACTAATGTTTCCGAATTTCATTAGAGATATATTTCTCATTCATTCAATTCAGGTCTCCCTTCGTGGGAAGGGGAAAATACATAAAAACTCAAAACATCTTCATTAAAAATTGTAAAATATAGAAAAACTGAAGTCATCAATTACAGTTAAAAACAGTTAAAAAAAAAACAATTTTTACATAATTACAGTTAGCGTTTGTGCGGGAAAACAAGCAATTCGGTCAACAGGCAGGAAGACAAAATTCCCGGTGCACAAAACTGAAAGTTAATTTTTTGTTCCCGGACAAAAACGTACTGATGTTGGTGCACCAACTGACTTAATTCACTATTTTACTAAGAGTTTGAAATGTAAAGAAATGGCGACGACGTTCGGCTTAGTACCATATAAACTTTTAAATTGTTGATAATTCTACGACTATACGGATTAATTAAAAGATAAAAACCTTAACCGGAACATACGAACAACATAATTCAATCGCTTTAAAAAAAAGTGCGCAATTTGCCAACATATAAGAATAAAAAAAAGAGAGCTCATCGAACCGGGTAAGAGGGTGGATGATATTTATATGTACACTCTTAGACAAAAAAAAAAAAAAAAAAAAAAAAAAAAAAAACGACGCACCACGTTGCACCGAGAGGATGTAAAGCAAATTGGACACAAATTGATATGCATACAGGTTTCGACGGAAAATGCAAAATTTTACATTTTGGCTGCCAATGAATGAACAGTTGTCGCTACAGTGCATCTGATCTGCGCAACTGCGAACGATATGCGCAGATGTCAGAATTTGAGTGAGAGGTCGTGTAGTTGGGCTCAAAGAAGCCGGTTGGTCTTATCGGCGAATAGTTCGAAATTTGAGCAGGAACGATGACACTATTAGACGATGTTGGCAGGAATGAGTGAACCATGGCCACAGACAGAGTCAAGAAGGAAGCGGTAGGCCTAGAGAAATGACAGAACGTGAAGACCGAGCAATCGTCAGAGTAGCACTCACAGCCCCAGATGCATCATTATCATCGATTGTACGTGCAACTAGTGCTTCAGTGACTGCAAGGACCATTCATAGACGGCTCACAGAAAGGGGGCTGAGGTCACGGCGCCCCTTGCGCCGACTACCATTGACCTCTGTACAACGTTAAGCCCGTTTGCTGTGGTATCGGGCTCATTCGCACTAGAATGTCACTGACTGGAGTAGAATAGTCTTCAGTGATAGTCTTCAGTGATGAGATTTTGAACTGACCCCCGATGACCAGCGAAGGCGAGTCTGGAGACGCCCCGGACAGCGGTGTGATACCAACCTGAATGTCTTCCAGCAGACAGGCCGACAACCAGGAGTGATGGTCTGGGGTGCCATTTCATTTCATAGTAAGACCCCTTCGGTTGTCATCTGTCGCAACCTTACAGCACAGCGGTACGTCGACGAAGTTCTAAGGCCCGTTGTGTTCCCTTCATGTCACGCCACCCTTATCTTACATTTCAGCAAGATAATGCCCGCCCCCACACTGCACATGTTTCTACTGCTTCCCGAAATGGAACATTACCCTGGCCAGCAAGGTCGCCGGATCTCTTTCCTATTGAGCACGTTTGGAGCATTATGGGCAGGGCCCTCCAACCAGCTCGGGATGTTGACGATCTAACGCGCCAGTTGGACAGAATTCGGTACGATATCCTTCAGGAGGACATCCGCAATCTCTATTAGTTGATGCCAAGCTGAATAACTGGTGGACAAACGCGTTACTGACCTTTTTCACTTTGTGAAGCTCTATCACTTCAATAAATCCTTCAATTTTTCTCAAACTGTAATAATTTGTTTTCTGTACATGTACATCACTTCTACCGATTTTCGTCCCATTCGGATAACTTCTTCTTGGCGCGTTCCTTTTTTTTTTTTTTTTTATATAATTTTTTTTATTATTATGTTTAAGAGTGTATATATACGTTTGGTGCGGCCGATTGAAAAGAAAGAAAAACGAAGGTGTACAACTAGATGTTATAGCATGTCCCTCATACAAAATTTCAACAGTCGATGGCTAATCGTTACGACGGCTAATACATACGGGCGTACACATGTCACGAAAATATCCTTTCTGAATCCATTTAAATCCATTTTACAATCTGTTTTGTAAAGGAAAATCCAGTATTCTGTCGGTACGTGCAGATGTCACGCAAAAAAGCATTCAAATAGATTTGAGAGTGATCAAAATGGATATTTTTGCTGAAATGTGATATCCGAAATTTTTCGCGATTACACTGTATTGTATTACTCTGTATTGTACTACACTGATTTTGTATAAAGAAGTAAATATAATTTAAATAAATTTTAAATTTCGCTTACTAGGCATTTATTAAAACATACATAACTGATAATAATACTAACGTAAAAGAAAAAAACATAATTTAAATTTATTTTCTATCTGAAATGTAAGTTTGGTAGCTGTAAGACATTTTTGCTTGGTTTTACACATTTGGATACACCTTGTAGTTCAAATATATTGACAGCTAAATATCAGATTAATACTAACATTTCTTTCAAATAATACTAACATGTGTAATTAATATTAAATAATTTATTTTAAACTAAAATTAAACAAATTATGAAAACTTTCGGCATTTTCAGAGAAACTTTACCAAGGGGAGCAAAACTTGAGAATAAATAGAAGACCAGTTTTTTTTTTCTCTTAATTATTAAATTTTTCACTAATGCATGAATAAAAATACATATGCTTGTATGTTATGTTAAATAATTTTGAATTATAGCTTGGCACTCTATGGCGTCTCGATTCCGATAAACTTTGTAACATTGGATAAAAATTATTTTCATCATGGATTGTAGTAAATACTCATCCATGAATCGGGTCTCATTAATTTTCAACTGTCGGGAGGGGGGATATTCACATATAAATGTATTCCCAAACAAAGCGATTATTCTTAGTGTAAAATTCGTAACATTTATTTTTTGACAAGAGCGAATATGATTAAAACACAATAACACGAAGAACAAATACTAATTCAGAAGTCAAACAACAAAAATCAGCGTTATATTTTCAAATTTTTACAGGACTAGTTTCGATGGTTTTACTGAACCACCATCCTCAGCTGCAAAAACGTAAATGAACGAGATAGGATATAATGATCAGATAAGATAAGAAAACCTCCACAGAAAATAAGCTAGTGGCGCCATCTGTTCATGAAACCAGAACTAAAACATAATTTCTTTAAATGCCGATGGCAAAGATGGATTGGCCTAAGAGAGCCTTAAAATTTCGCGTCAAAGAACATGAGGCATATGTTAGAAAAAAGGAAACAGAAGTCTTCTGTTGCCCAACATTGTTGGTCCGAAAATCACACTTGCAATTTTTCTGCTGCCAAAATTATTCAAAAAACATGTTCCATTGGAGAACTGGATTTCCTAGAGGCATTTCACATTCAAAAAGATCTTTCTGTTCTAGTTAACGATCCTAATTCCAATCCATCTTTTCCTTCGGCCTTTAAAAAAATTATGTTTTAGTTCTGGTTTCATGAACAGACGGCGCCACTAGCTTATTTTCTGTCGAGGCTTTGTTATCTTATCTGATCATTAGATCCTATCTCGTTCATTTGCGTTTTTGCAGCTGAGGATGGTGGTTCGGTAAAACCATCGAAACTACTCCTTTGAAAATTTGAAAATATAACGCTGATTTTTGTTGTTTGACTTCTGAAGTAGTAAGAGCGAATATGTTAATAAAGCCGAGTTAAAAAAAATTCTGTATCTTCAAATCTGTTAATAAGATTTCTATCAAGCTGTAAATTAATTAATTCAGTCAACGCATTCTCTGGTGCCTTATTCATGGAAATGAAGATAACAGAAACGCGGGCTAACTAAAATCTTAAAATCTTTGCAATGTCGGATCTGTAACAAATACATAATTGAAATGTCCCGAATTAGGCCCGAACAAACCCGGAATGAAATAAATCTTCCGAATATTAGGCCAAATAAGACCCGAATAAAACTGTTTCCGGAGCCGTCATTTTGAGACCATTCCTTATCGTTATAACATAACATATTAAAATAGAGAATATAGCGAAGATGAAACAAAATCACTCTTACTGAAAATTTATGATATTGTCGGAGTGATTAAAATCCGTTCCATCACGAGGTAAAGGCGTAATTTCTGTAGGATATTCATAATTTGAACTATTTTGCAAGCAATTCGATTCTTATCGTTGTTGATTGACTTTCTAACTGCGGAAATTCCGACTCAGACAATTCTCAAAACAAGTATCAGTGTCGTTGTGAAACTTTCAAAACTGTAGACAAAATAAATAGAAGCCAGCAGACTTCCTCTGAGATAGATGATCTTTGTGCAAACATACTTTCCTTTACTATTGGACAACTAGCGTAAATAGTTGGCATTCAAGTAAACTGAAATACATTCGGTATTTAATTCTCACTCCTTGAGAATGCAAATAAAGATTTATTGTTTTCCGTCACTTTACATACTGGGACTATTTGAGGTTACAAGGAAACAGCTATTCAAGATAGCTGATGCTTGCATAATAACTGATCACACGAATTCTTCATTCTTCGTTACATTTCGGTATCGTGCAGCTGAATGAAATTAAGAATGACTTTGCATTTAGTCAGTGTTTAATCTACGGCGTATTTATTGTAATATTATTGAAGTCTCACAAATTCATGTAGTAACAGTCTAGCCTGCAACATTGAGGAGAGGAATGTTTAAATGCAATGAAAGTAATAAGAAAATAATATGATTTTTTTTAAAATCTTTTTAACTGGCTTTGTTTATTATATGTACTGTTGTTTACAGAAAC